TGAACAGTAAAAAAACAAAACTTGGTTGCTTTGAAGAGCCTTGTTTTTTTTCTGATGATAAATGGTAAAGATGGAATATGATCCTAAAACATAGTTAGTAGATCTGTATTAGCTAAGCTAGCTAACCTCTTTATAAGAGGTCATAGAAAAAAAATACTTGCTTGGGATGAAATCTGGATGAACCAAGAAAAAGAATATTATTGCTTTTGTGTTGTTTCTTCTATCTATTGTTCTATATTAGTTGGACTATTCTTAGATTCTTTTGTACTTTTTTTATCCATTAACCTTGAGAACACAAAGTTGGACCTTCTTTTGCTAGTTTAGATGCTTGTCCTATTTAGGCCTGAAAAGGCAGATGACCCTTACATGATTACCAAAAGCCTCCTCCTTTCATAGGTGAGGACTATTAGTATTGTGCATGTGTCTGACAGTCTCAGGGATGTTTTGACATCACTGAGCTCTATACAAAACATTATCTTTAGTTAAATTAAACACATTTAGGTTTAAATTTCTGGTGTTCAGTAAAATCTTGTTAGGTCTCTCTTTATCTTTTCTCACACCAATGATGCTAATAATTCATCTAACTACAGACTGTACATATATAGATTTATCAAAAATTAACAGTGTTTTTTCTTTGGAATTGTGAGGGCGAAATCGATCGGAATTGCGACATCCACTTCATTAAGCCGCCCTAATCTCCAATCATCGTTCAGTGAAGAGATGGAGAGTTGGAACTCTTCTTGGCTCCCATCTTTTCTTGCCTTACTAGCTTTTCTATGTCAAAAGAAAGTGTGCAGACATGAACCCTTTCTCTCTTTTATTTGCTTAGCTACGAAGGGATGAAGGTAGTGATCGAAGTGCGTGTTCCTTTCAATCCTTCTTCCCAATTCTAACTTTACGAGTTCAAGGTGGGAATAGTAATGTGACATGGATTGCTTGTCTACAAACATGATTGGATCCATTAAATTCATGCTTTCTCCTCGAGTTCTAAGAGAACTATGAACACAACAAATTACTCTGCCACTGTTCTACTGGCGCCAATGGGAGCCATTCAGCTCACAGGCTTCACGTCCAGCTACAGTAGGAAGGATTTCCATAGATATATCAGACAGCCATGAGATTAAATAACCTATTCAAAAATACTGTAAAAAATCCATAGGGTGTTCCTCATAGATATTACTTCCCTTACATTTTATAGATTACAATAAAAATATGATAAAAATGAGAACTTCTCGAGAAAAGCCAATAAAGAATATGTTAATATTCGGAAAAGAAAATCAATTAAAATGTTTATGACATTTAATTTTAACAAACAATCTATATCAAATGGTTTAAGAAGTATGAAAGGGTGGTTTAAGCGGATCGAATAGATTTAACAGATCCGACCCGTCATTTGAAGCCCATTTTTATGAAGACCAAAATTGATTTAATGCGCTTTAAGATAGAAGCCCAACATACCGAGCCCACATAGAGCCCACTATGGGCAGCGCTCTATATATTCTAACAAGGTTCCTAGGCCATCGCATACAGCGACAGAAACCCTATCGCTTCTTCTTCCGGGGGCCGCCGCAAAACCCTTGTCTCCCCTTTTTCGTCCTCGCCTCGTCGAGCGGATGATCCCTCGGCCGTGTCTTCTTCAATTGATTTGCCCTTTGCGTGATAATGTCACGATGTTTTCTTCTTCGACCGATGTTCTTTTTTTTGCGAGTCGTTCATATATTTCTTGACGGAGTTTTATGTTTTGGGATCGTCGATGATGATAAATCTAAAGGCTTGTTTCTCAAGACATTCGCAGTGGCCGCCTGAGAGCTTTCGCCTTGCCGGGCTTGAGAGCTTCTGCTGCTCGACTCTTCCTTGGATGTCTGAGATCGATCCCCAAATCTATTCGGATCTTTTAATCCTTACTTTTTCGTTTCTATTGCGATAAAAAGTAGTTATGAGTCTTTTGAGAGCTTCAAAATCGGATCTCTTTGTTGTTCTTGGTGAAATGTTTTGGTTTGTATCGATGATGACAAATTCAAGGCTTGTTTCTCAAAACATTCGCAGTGGCCGCCTGAGAGCTTTCGCCTTGCCAGGCTTGAGAGCTTGTGCTGCTTAATTCTTCCTTGGATGTCTGAGATCGTTCTTCACCATTAATCCAATTCCTGGGTATTTTAACTGACTTCGTTGTGTTCGTTTTTGAAAGAAATATGGTTCTTAGCACTTGATAGCGTCGAAGTTTGGAGTTTTTTTTCTTGCCGACAGAAAGATTCACCGTCAAAATGAAAAAGGTCAGCCTTTTGCCCTCGCGCTTTAGATTTTGTGTTGCCCAATTCATCCAGCTTTGGTGCTCGAAGTCGTTACATTGAAACATCAAAGTTGGAATATTTTGTGTCTTTTACAATTCATAAAGAGCTAATTGCCAATGATGACAGATAGTAAGGCTTGTTTCTCAAAACATTCGCAGTGGCCGCCTAAGAGCTTTCGCCTCTCCAGGCTTGAGAGTTTATGCTGCTCAGTTCTTCCTTGGATGTCTGAGGCCATCAGCTCGATCTCAATGTTGATTTGGTCTTTGGTTTTTGTCGTTGGTTTGATTTTGGCGTCAAAAGTACATTTCATTCATGTAATTCATGTGGAATTTTATGGTAAAACGCAAAGAACCCTATGGTGGGACTACACGTCTGCCCCTCTGGCCTGTTCACATGCCTTAGGGATGAAGTAGTCCCTGATATCCATCTGCCCTTGTGCTTCACTTGTCGGCAATCTTCCTCTGGTTGTCCTGGCATTCTCTTTGAGGGATACAAGACTGAGATCTCATCTTAACTGTTAGTTAAACGGCCATAGCTTGTTTCTAAGCTTTGTTGATGTAACTTCATCTTCTCCTTGTTCATATTTTCTTATAATTTGTAGTCATGATCTTCATTTTTTCTGTGAATTTTTTTTTTGAGTTAGATTTTGGTCATGTTTTCAGGTTGGAAAATTTTCTCTAAGGATTTAATTTTTGATGGAAAAATATTTTATATTTCCTATCGTTGATACCTTTCATTGCATATAATGCAATCAATGGGCATAAATTATGTTAAACTTGATTGGTCATTCTTTATTAATGGTGACATATATTGCAAAGGAATTTGGCAGGAAACAAATTGTTATTATTAATGGTGATATGTTTTAGTCTGAAAATTATATTTTAATGGTGATGTGTAGTGTCACATTAGTTACAATAAACATAAAATTACGTCAGATCTGCCTTATATTTAGGTTGTGACTTGGAAGTGATGCTAGATAATTAAAAAATAACTATTATAGATAATATTATATTTAAACTTTGATATATTATTAAAGTTAATCATGAAAATGGTTTAAGAATTATTGTTATTAAGGATTTTTTAATATTATTATATATAAAAAAAATTTAAAGATATAATTATAGTTTTTAAATTTATGAAAGGATAAGATGTTTTGCATTGTTTATATTTTTCAAATCGGATTTGATAATTAAACTAAAAAAATTAAAAAAAGTTTAGTTGATTTTACTTTTTATCATTGAAATATATAATAGAAGGAGATTTAAATTATTATATAAAGGGGTGTATGGTGATTTTGGTTATGAAAAGAGAAATGAAGTTTGTGGAATAATTGTAGATTTTATAATAATTTTACAAATATAAATATTAAAAATATATAAATATTTAATTATTTATAATATTGATTATAATTAGATTTAAATAGATTTTTTTATTAGAAATATAGATAAATTTACGATATCGAAAGGTATTTTAGTTTAATTTATTATGTTTTTTTATGCGACGTATCTCATTTATGGTTGAGGACAATGTGAGGTAATTATTATATGCGTTAGTTGGTATAATATTTTAAACTCAATTTCATTGTTATAAGTGTAGAAAATATCAAACTTCGATAAATAGGTGCAAGGAAAAATAAAATGACCAATTGTACGAATTGTATGCACTTTATAATTATATAAAATTTTTGCATATTTACATAAAAGATAAAAATAAGTTTTTGTATATTGTAAGCATGCGTATATTCAACTAAATCATCGGATATTGCGAGTCCAAGTTGCTGTATTAGGTTGCATTGCAAGTCAAACTACGCTTCACATACATCTTTTGTCTTCTCCAGTTTTGCCCTTTTTCTAAGTTGAGAAGAATGCGATCATGGAAGAGTAGTGCTGTCCTTTTCATTCCAGTTTTCCTGTCATTACAAGCTCAAGGAAGCAACACTATTGCACCAGAGAATTTTGTGCCCCCACTGAAATCAGATAGCTCTTTATTTTAATTTTGGCTTTGGAATTTTGGACATTGAAACATCCATTACTTTCCAAGATGATGGATGGGTATGCTGTGTACATGGAATCAAAAGCCCTTTTCCTTGAAATCATATGAAATCCATGGCAATTCTCTCATAGAGGAATATTATCTTGGAGCTCCTCAAAGCACCATGATCGACTAAGAATAAAGAAATGTATTATTATCTATGCTCTCTCTCTTTTTTATATTTTTTTCCTGTTTCGTCTTGTCCATAAAACATTATGCTTAGTGCTTTTTATTATCTGATTATTATCCTTCAGCAAGTGTCTTCTTGTCGATGAAACATTAAGCTCTCATCGGATCTCTGCACGAATCTCGATGGCGCCTGTCAACGCTGACCGGCGGCTAATGTTGCGCGACGTGTGCGGTGGACACATGATATGCGTGCGTGAACACACGCATCATCCGACCGTTCGTTTTAGAAAGTCCGCAGTAATCCGCCGTAGAATCGTCGCGCTAAACCCTTTCCGGCTGTGTATGTGACTCACATCCAAAGTTAGCAGCAGACACACAATTTGCTTCTTCTTCTCCTTCTCCGTCTCCTTATTATGAGCAGCAATACCTCTCTACCAGTTAATAGACCACCCGAGTCTACCTGTTTTCTTATTGGACCAAAGTTTGGACCCCACCGGAGTCTAACTTAAGGGCTGACCTTTTTTGTCTCCGCATTCCGCCCTTATATGACGGGAGGTGCTAAACGAGCAAATGGAAGTTGGATCTGGGTCGTATCGACGGCGAGAACCTTTCTGGGCGAGCGCGATGAAGCCTACCGTGATCGCTTCCCCGAACGAAAATAAGATTTCGGATTCACAGAGCACCGTCCGAGGTACAGATTTCTGAATCGAATCTTTTTTTGCCCCATCAGTTTGGCTTTGCTTTGTCCCGTTTATTATGATTCGACCATGTAATTCTCGAAAGATACTCCGGATTTAGGCCGGATTGTTGTATTTTATCAAGCAGTGATATCGTCTTTGCCGTTCTTCAAACTTATTTCGATTTCTTTTTGGACCTTCTATTACTGTGGTGTTTGTTATGTTAATTAAAACGATCTGTTGCGCGTTAGCTAACACGATCGATATTGCTGGAAAAGGTTTCATTTGATTCATAGAACTTAATATGCTGCACTGCGCAAGTTATTCCGGTGCTGTCATGTATGTTTCACATACATTTGTGACCGTGTCGGTGGTGATTTATCTCCTAACTGTATTTGCTTCCGGTGGGAGTAATGCTGATGTCTTTGCATACAATGATCGTTTGTCCTCTGGTATTGTTTGTAATATTACATCAATTCCAGGTGGTTTATTGTGGCTTGTGGTAAGAAATGCTGCTATATGTAATTACTAAGTAGTCCGGGAAGTTGGTTTAGTTTTGGCCATGATATATTTGCATTGATTATATTAAGTAGTCCGGGAATCTGTACTTGTATTGATTAAGATCTGAAGGTCGTCTCCCTTGTTGTATCATTTTTTTTTACCTTTTTATTATTATGTACTTGTTCTGGATTATGCACTCAGTGTTCTACAATGATTATGCTCGTTATGGTGCTACCTATTCTTCATGCAGCTCTATAAAATCAATTTACCTTCAGTTTGAGACCTTTTTTTTTTTCGGAGAAAACACTTGTTTTATTGTGGCAGAATCCCGTTGCACTGAATGGCTCTCTCTGATCTCATATGAATCTTTTTATTCACCTTTCGCTGTCTCTGTTCTCTTAAATATCTTCAATATCTTGATCATTGTCTATATGGTTCTTGCTTTACTCTTTTTCCTTTTAGTTATAATTCTGTATTCTTTTCATCTGCTTACTGTTGACGATGTTTAAAGCTAAATATCGAGGCAAGGTAATCTTTGCTGTTCATCTTATGCATCATTGCCATATCTTTGTCTTCTAAATTTAGCTTGCTCTCTCGTTTATCTATTTTTTGATTTGTTTTCGTCATTTCTGGTTTTTATGCTGTACAGAAGCAGCCTATTCTGGATTTAAGACAGCTGCAATTTCAGGTGCTATTGCTGCTGTGCCCACGGTATGTTTTCCTTGAATCTCTTTCTGCTTACCTCGATTAGTGGTATCAGCATTTCTAGTTGGGATATTGCATTTAATTGTCATTAAAATGCGTAAACTCTTGGCATCTTCTTTTGTCGTGTGAGTATTTATACTTGGGGCAGTGCATTATTTCTTGATATTCAAATATGTGATCTATTGACATTTTCTATCCATTTGTACATAATCAGTCACACATGAAGTAGACAATTAGAGAGGATCAGAACTTAGAGCAGTTTAAGCTATCATTCAGTTGTCAACTATAAAATGGAAGTTTTAACTCTACATGCCAAGTTTTTTATTTATTCTCTCTCTTTGCACGTTGATTGTACCTAATTTACTTATTTTTTTCAGTTGGTTGGTTGTCGTGTAATTCCTTGGGCCAAAGCTAACCTCAACTACACTGCACAGGCACTTATCATATCAGCAGGTATTATATTCTAAAGTGCATTGCCTTTGCTGGTGACTTACTATATTTTAACATTACTTTTTTTCTGATTACAATGAAAAAGCAATTACTTCATTTTTTTGCTCATATTTCTTACCCATGATATGAGAAAATTTCCTACCATGATCCAAACTGCATCTGAATTATTCGATACTCTTTTCTGGATTACTAATTCTGGATTATTCAGATCACTGAGTTAAATACTCTTTTCTGCCCTAAAAGTACCTTCTTGGCAGTTAAAAGACATCCTTTCCAAACATATAAAAAATTAGAAGTTATGATGGTTGGTGCTACTATTATTAGTCTTGAAATCAGGAAGTTCAGTGCTGTATGTTCTACAACCAAAGTTCATAATACGGGTCCGAAACAACATATAAGGAATGAACAATACCAATTTTCTACTGGTAATCATGTTTCTAGGAATTATTGTATCTTCACTTCATTTAGATATTCTGTAGACATGTCCTCCAGTAATCTTTTCAGAAGTAGAGGATAATAGGAAAAAATAAAAAAACATTGACCTTCGCACTTTGTTACCATTTGAGGGTTTCTTTTTGTCACAGGACAGCAGACTGGATTTTTGTCCATGTGATAATATTCCACATCTTGTCAACTACCTAGTCTTTTTATGTTTCCATGTGGTTCTATTGTCAGTCCTTCTGGTTTCAAATTAAGCTTGTAACAATATTGAGTTGAAGTGTTCCTACATTTGGTACTGAAATGTCCAACTGAATCTCCTGCTCTTATTTTATAACTAAATGGTTAGACCATTTCTTTTGTATCACAACAAGTAGTTTGTACATCTTTATTTGTAGTCATGTAGCATTCCCATCAGTGGTATGAAGTAACAAGTATTAAGGTCTTTCTGATCTATACTATACCCATTATCAACTAACTTTAAGTGGCATGGCATGTCTAGCTGATACTAAAAATTCTTTCTGCTTTTTGATGTGACTATAGACAAAATGATGAATGAGTATTTTGTGGTTGATAGAATCACCAGGAGACTTTAGTAGTGAAGCAGGACATTTCATTTGTGGAAGTTAGCAGATAGATAATGTTAGTTCAAGAAAAGAGGTGGTTTCTAGGGGTTCCAAAAGTTTGTCAGTGAACTCCAATGTTATATAATTTCAAAATTGATGTTCAGTTCACACTTGCTGGTTTCTAGGGGTTCCAAAAGTTTTTTACTTGCTTATATTGACGTTTGGCTTCTGCTTTGATGAGCATAAGTATTGTGAGTTATTTAGCTTCCTGGTGACATGACCTCGTAGCCTATGCATGTCTGTAATTTTGAATCTAGTAAATTGTTTACTTTTTTTTTATCCCTAGAAATAAATCATCGAAATAAATCACATTATCTGGTCAGGCGTGAGTGTCTCACTTGATTCAGAAGACCTAAGGTCAAGATCACTAACCATTTGTGCTTCTCTTTTGCAGCTTCTGTTGCTGGTTTCTTTATAACTGCTGACAAAACCATTCTACAAAATGCGAGAGGAAATAGTATAGGGAAGTACGATAAAAGCACTTGATAAGAACCCTGTTTTTAGTTTTCACGGCAGGTCATATTCCTTTTCAAATAAGATGCATGAGATTTCCATTTGAGAGGGAATTGTGTTATTGTTGCGAGGACTCTATGGATGTTAAGGATAGATATTTACCTCTTTTGGTTGGTGTTATATTTAAAGTAACACCGTGTAGCAGGCAACGATCAACTCTGTTGTGAACATCTTTCCTTTGTCCGATCTACTCCTGTTATGATTTAATTTACTTACAAATCATATGGCATGAAGGGTGTTGCCTTATAGGAGCATTGATTAAACGTCAATTGGAACAGGAGGTTCTTAAGAGGTAAAAGCTAAAGGTTTAAAGTTCTGTAGATGTGGTGGTCGGTAGAACAGACAGAAATTGTGGTGGGCAAGAACTTGTTTGATTGAATATGTTAGCGAGTGATAAATCCAAATTCCAGTGATTCGATTACATATGGCTATCTAACATTATGACCCTGTTTTGAAATTGGTGTTCTGCTGAAGTTAATAATAGGCATCGTTTGAGGCTTAGACCGATATGATAAGAGTCTTATTTGCTACCGAGTAGCTGCTGGATGGTTTCTTTTTTTGTATGTTCCTCATGTCCACAACAGTTGTGTTGATGCGCTTATATTATCTGACTTGTTGATTCCCAGTTAATATATATATATAGAGAGAGAGAGAGAGAGAGAGAGAGAGCGAAACTATCTTATCTCCATAAATTTAAGCAACGACTATCTCTCCGGAGCACAATCAGCTTTTTAATCTTTACAAAATTGAATGAATAATACGTGTCCAGGGGAGCTTTTTCCATCATTACAAAATTGTGAACGTTTAATCTTTCTTAATATTGAACAAAATAGCTTCATTCATCTTGTGAAGAGCGTGCAACAAGTCAGTCGATCGGAGAGATCCCACAAGGAATTGGAGATCTTTGCAGGCCTCTGGAACTTAACACCTATCCTCTAATCAAGAATAGAGCCAAGACCCAACATGTAGAAGGGGCACCATCATGTCACTTTCCTTGGTTCTTGCTCGGTACACGAAGCTCTCAATGCAATCCTTTACGTGTAAGTAGTAATGTCGAGATCTCTTTTGCTGGGCCAAAAAAACTGTTCAACACCAAACAACATCTGAGAAACAACCGCATTTCTCAAACAATTGTGGGTGTTTGGCAGGTACCGGATGCAATGTGGGTATGAGTAGCATTTCTCAAACAAAGTGAATAAAGAAAGGAGCCACAAGAAATCACACCTTAATGTACGACATCTTTATTAGAACTGTCATTTAGTATATATAAATACTGTTCTTCCCAACTTGTATGCACAGAAAAAGGATTACCCATGCTTTTTCCTAGCAAGCTCTTATTTGTGGCAGTTGAGAAGTAACTGTTGGACAGCCACCGGTAGACCTCAAAGCAGACAAGAGACAAGAGAGCCTTGCTACCACTGGCATGGCCAGCCCAAATCTGCACGATGTAATGATGCTCAGTTCCTTTGAAGCAACCATACCCGTGTCATAGCCTTCTAAATCTGCCTCTGTTATCAGTACAGCATCTCCTGCAGGAAACAAAGGCGCGCTGCTTTTAACCATCTTGCTGAAGTCCTCCACCGCCTGAAGGTAACAAGAACCAGCATTCATCTTAAGATAAAAGCAGTTAGCAAATTACTCTGTTAAATATCTGTTGTAAATTCCTTTTAAGCAAAATAGACCATCAAATAAATGCTAACATTTGCAAAATGAATTCCATAGTAAAGTGAAATAGCTTTGTTGCATTTTCCATCATAATTGAAGGTCATACATAAAGGCAACTCCTATATACATTATACCCTATCAACCATTTTAAAAAAAAATTGATTCAAACTGTGCAACCAACAAAGATTGGCAATTTCTGATTTCTCAATCTCTTCAACAAGATGGAAAAAACAAGTTTGTGGATAACTGTGTTGACAGAGAAGCATGTCCCCACATTCTCAGTGATTGATGACTCGCGATATCAATATCAAAAGACAAATATGTGGGGTACTATAGCTAGCACCCTCGATGGTGATAGTGTGCACCCACATCATCTGCTGCAAGGAGCATCAAGAACTCCGATCCAAAACTGAATCCACATGCTACCTTATGAGTACGATTTCAGGTTTGTAGAAAGCCTGAGACTTCCTCAAGCCCCAAGAGTGTTGTCCTTTTCCCAACAATAGCCACCACTAGCAAGCAACAGTCTTGCCATTATAAAGCAGAAATCTATAGCCCCTCAAGATATACAACTTCTTATCCTACGGGCACTACATGTCATTGCCCTTCAGCTTCTGTAGCTTCTTCTCATTCTCCCATTGGCAGCTGTAGGCATCAGAGTGTTATTCCCTTGTATTGCGGGGTACCCATCTTCTTCCTTCCATCCTTTTGACAAGTGTTATTTCCTTATCTCGTGGGGTACCTGTTGAATCTCGGATTTTGATGATGAAACCAATCAATGTGTGTTTATGTTTTAATCTGCGTTTTGAATGACGTAGGATGCTTCGATCAGGATGAGACAATTATAGCAGGAAAATCATGTTGTGCCGGAGGAACATGTCAGAAGATTGGACGTTGGGCCGGTGAATCGGTCGACGTATCGACAGAAGGCTTGGGGCCGTGGATTCGGGCATCAGGCCAAGAAGAGCGAATATTGCGCCAAGGATATCGGAGTTGCGGAGTCAACTGGCCGATTGGGCAATAGGCCGCAAGAGAGGACGATGCATCGAAGAATCAGACGAAGCGTCGAGGGACCAATGACATGCCGAACAACTTGATTAATTGCTTAGGATTAATTGTTTCGATCGAAGTTTTGTTTTAAGTGTGCAGGATTAACTACGATAGCTTGAAGACATAAAGCAAGTCTACCGGAGTCAAGTTTAATGGGTGTTCGAGAGTCCGCCGAGAGTCCGAAGATTCGTCGGAAGTGTTGCCGGAACCAACCGAGAAGAAATTAGGGACTTGCCGAAGTTTTCGAAAGTCTGCCAGAGAGATCGTCGGAGGTTCGCGGAGATCACCGAGAAGGTTCGACTATTTGCCAAAGACTCGCTGAACTCGCCACAAGACCGAGAGCCTGCTGGGAGTCCGCCGGAAGAAATCCGAGGGTGCATCGGAAGTCCGCCGAAAGTTCACCGAAAAGCTCGCCAGAAGGAAACTCGACGTTGCCGATTAAAAACTTGCTTAGGACTATGTCTTAATTTCGTAGTTTGCACGTAATTAGGATTAGGATTAAGAGTTAATCCTATAATCTGGTTAGGGGCCAACTGGGCCCGAATTTGGACTGGTTTGGGCCAAGTTTGAAGCCCAACCAATGATCTGAAAAGTCCAGGCGGTGGCACCGCCCAGCACCCGAGAGCTCCGGCTGTGGCACCGCCAGTACACTGTCAGTGTCAGACACTAACAAGCGATGGCACCGCCACTGACAGGCGGTGGCACCGTCAGCTCCGGAAATATAAGAGGAATTCAAAATTTGGAGCCCAAATTTAAATCATCTTGGGGTCTATAAATACCCCTCAATTCTCAGTAGAGAATACAACCTTTGAGAAGTTAGAGATTGAGATAAAGCCTTAACAAAGTCTTTAGCAAGTCTTGTTTTCAATAGCTTAAGTGTTCACCTCCCTCTTTCTCTTTGAAAATCTGTAAAAGTGTGAACCACTTGTAAAATGTTATAAGAGGGGCATTTGTCCTTCCCCTTGAAAGTGATTTGCTAGTGGAAGTTCGGAGTCTCATCGAAGAAGGCTTTGCAAGTAGATGTAGGTCATTTTGACCGAACCACTTTAAATTGGTGTGTTCCTTGAATGTGTGAGTGTTTACCTTTCTTAAACCGTTATTTACATAGCAGTAAGCTTTCAATTTTTATCTTCTCACTTTACTCGAGCTACTTTCACCAAGTCATTTATTGTCGAATCGAAATCTCTACGCATTTACGAAATCGTTTTCAAACTTACGAGTTTTAATCCGCTGCACTAATTCACCCCTCCCCCCTCTTAGTGCCGCTCCGATCCTATCAATACCCATCTTCTTCCTTCAATCCTTTTGATTGATGACCTAGTCAGCTTGATGTACAAACAAAAAGGAGACACACAGCTACCTTTTCATCAACCCAGCTCATCTTCTCCGATCCAACTGGAGATAATTGTAAATCAGAACTGCTACAACCTATTCTTTTGCTGACCTCAAGTGAAGTTATTGCTCTACATCTGAAAATGATTAACTCTTTGAAGTAAAATATCTTGCCCATGCTGTGAATCTCTAGGAAAGTATGGTTTCCTAATTGCATCGGTATCACGTGATCCATTAAATATACTAGGCTGGTGGATGACTATCATAAAAGTCCTAAGAAAATTAACTATCTAGACAAGTACAATATTTAGTAGTAACTTAGTCCTTATTTCCAAAATCATATAAAGAGGCATCCATTTATCATAAACTGAGGAATCATTGTTGGCAAACGACAAAATAGATAGAGTTGCTCCATCACAATTGACTTCTCGATCACAAGGATTACTTTGGTATATCACTGGTTGGGTTCAGCAACTTGAAACCAGAAAAGAAGGATTTTAAGGTGTTCGGATGCTTATGCATTGGGACACTTGGTTGTAGCAGGACAATTCTATATTGGTGTAAACTAGTCCATATGCCCTACATAACACAAAAGTTATCCATTGCAAGGAGGCACTAAAACTAAAGCCAGATTACCACCCACTACACTGGTTCTGGAGAATCAGAGGCAAAACCAGGTGATGCATTCATGTGAAATATTTACAGCCCAACAAATAAAATGCTAGCCAATAGATGACTGCATCATCGAGGGAATTAGACTTTTGTTTCATTTTTTACCTCTAAAAAATTAAGAAAAGCTAGACTTTTGTATCATTTTTATCTCTTCAAATTTAAGAAAAGCTAAGTTGCATACCCGCCATTGTGAAGGAGCCAATAGCACCCTTGATCTTCTTGATCTAACATATTCCAGGGCAGCTGCAGGCGTCATATGCTTGTATTTAACCTATGACAATATGTTATGATAAGAACAGAAGTTTTACCAAAGATAATGTCATATAACACACTTTCCTCTTGGTTCAGATTTTTAAATTTGATATATAACACAAGCAAATGCAACATTTTATATTTCCATGAAAATAAACAAATATTAGATTACCAGATAGCACAAGACAATGGTGGTGCTACGACCCCTTCCAGCTTTACAATGAACATAAGTGGTCCTCTCAGAAGATGCATTTCCTGATAAAAAAATTTGAGACCTCATAAATTACAAAGAAATCTCTGTTTATAAGCTTTGATATCAAAACATACCAGCAGACCCATCACAGATAAAAGGAAAAAGTTACCTACAAATTATTCGTCCTTAATGTTTAAAGATATAAGAAGGATCCACTAAAGGTACTTCGAGTTCTAGACTTCTGACTATTGTTATCTGTTGAATTTTCAGTAGAATTATAGCAGAATTTCACAGTTTGCACAGTCATTCCTCCAAAGCATTTTAAGAGTAAGGCTAAAATATTTATCTTTGAAGCAAGCAAAATTTAAAATTCCTATGGAGTCTTTCTCGGGGTCATTATTTGGTGTTTGCACTTTGCACACACCTGTTTAATTTGAACACTGAAGTATAGCATCAATAAAATTCTAAATTGATTTTACAAGAACGAATCTGAAGTGACAAGAAACAAAAAAGATACAGGCATACAAGGAGGTGAAAATTATTGAAAATGACATGCACTTCAGTATGTTATATATGAACATTTAGATATGGTTTACATGAAGCCTCGGAACACAATATAACCCACCTTTCAAAATCGCTAAAATTTACAGTCAGAGTTCGGCCTGAGTCTGAATCATGATAATTATCCTAAAAGTGTATGCATACCATGAATAATTTATAAAATTAATGTGAAGAGTCCAGGTAACACTGTTATACAGCTGGGATCACAAACCAACCAGCATGAGAGTTTGACTATGGCCAGCACCAGAAACAGCTCTTTTGGTTATATTTTCTAATTTTATGTTATTTTGAGAATGATTTTTCATCTATATATTTTATTTTAAGTTGAGTTCATATTCCATATTTTGAGTTGTCTTTTGATTGCGTGTCCTATTATAGTTATAGATGGTTATAGGAGAGACCTTAAGTCATTCAGAGTCACATTTCAAGAATTTTAGATGTGCCTTTAAATAGGATTTTGTGAGATTCTTAGATTTCATACTAGGAAGCTTTTCTCCTGTAAGTGATCCCCATGTAATATTTGTTAACTATATAAATGGAATACTACTGTAATATATTTATCATATTCAGCAGTAGTAACTTCTCTCTTTTCCCTTTTGGTTACATCCTTGGGATGCCCATTTTTGTTCTAAAATTGGGAAAATACCCTGAAAGGAAAATCAATCTATTTATTAGTATCATAGTGAAAAAGATCCATTACAAATTGTCACGTATATTTATTTTTCACTACTTCCATTACGAGATATACAATCTCATCTTGGCCTATCCACCATTGCATCATCGTAAATATCAGAAACAGACATCACTTAAAAGGAGAGAAAAAAAAAAGCTTGAAAAAGCCCAGCACATAGCCACCACATAATACAAGCTTGAAATAGACATTGCAGGAGATAGACAAATCATAGCAGTTCGAGAGCTAGAAACAACCTAAAACCAATATTGCATTAGTAACAAAATTTGGAGGTGAGAAATAACAACTCATGCAGGTCAAAGAATCATCACAAGCATATAAGCACATTAAAATATAAGCAAAGCAAGGACAAATTTCATAATCTTACTGTGTATGAAATCGACAGCTCGGCATATATCCACAAAGGAAGGGGCATAAAGGTAGTCTCTTGTAGGAATCACCAAGTGATCAATTCCATGTGTCTGAAAACCAAACCAGGAAACCAAGATAAACAACATGTGCAACTTCAATGACTGCAACTTGACTTAATTCACAATAAAAACCAGGATAAAAGGTTTAAATCCTGTCAAAAATGCATAACAAATGCAGAAAAGCTCACTTCAGCAAAAAGTGAGCCAAAATTGTTGCCTGATAGTGAATTCCACTTTAAACAAATTTTATGAAGCTACATGCTGGAAATATTAAGCATGGTGTAGTTAGTGTAGTACTGTTGCAATCACTGCAACAAGATGATATGGAAGCTCATAAACTTTACAATCAAATAAATATATCTCATTGTTTCATATCGACTGCAATGAAAGGTAGGCTATTGAATAATGTGAATCCATGAAAACAAGAAACTTGCCTGATACAAGGATGATGGAACCAAAGTCTCGTACGGTTCATTCAATGTAACAACACCCTGAACTCCAAGCTGATGCAACTGTGGAACATCTTTAGGAAATGGAACAGCCCCAAGCAAAAGAAACTGCAAAGGCAAGAAGTACAATCACAAAGTAAACAAGCAAAACTGACTTAACAGTGTATCATTTAAAGGAAGGAAACAATATGCAAAACCCAAACGTCAAGCAAATTAAGACTTAAAAAGTTAAATACATCTCCACTTGCAGTAGCAACTAAAACTATAAGATCCAGTTTATCACATGCTTTCAGGAGTTCACAATGAGGAAGTGATTATAGAAGTAATTTCTGACAAGAATTTTATCACAAAAAGTTGCTAGGATTATCCAGTTTAATCTGACGAAATCAGAAATATTTCAAGCATGATGTATTGTACTGCACTTGTAACAGATCGATTATTTTCACATATAAGTATTAACCGAACATCTGATGCGCTACTCGATAACCCTGTCAAAAAAAAACAAAAAAAGACAGCGGCATACATGTAAAAAAGGAAAGAGACAAAGCTAAACATAACGAAATGAACAATCACCTCGTCTATTTCGTCCCACCAGCGGAATTCAGCCTGGATCTTGTTTCGAAAAACATTGTACAGAAGAGTCGGATAGAATAAAATCCGTGCTCCCGCCCCGACAATAGCCCTCTTCGCCTTGGCCGGCACGATCTCCCGCACGCCGGAATCGCAAGAATCATCAGATCCTCCGTCCTCCAACTCCGTGATCCTCATACCCTCGTTGCCAATTCAAACAAATCGAGAGCGAACCAGAAAATCCTACTCAGACCCCGCCTCCAAAACGGATCACCCTGTTACAAATACTCCGACATCAAAGGAGACGCAACCCACCGCAGAATCCACCGCGGCAAACCGCTCGATGCCACAATAAAGAGATCGAACCTTGGGTGCTCCAATACCCACCGATTCAAGCGATTTCCACCCCGATCGGGAGCCTCGGCGGTGGATACACGAAATCCGATGATTCGGGCAAAGGTTAAAGCACAAGAAGGAACTTCTATTGGGAAACCACGATCTCACCCTCGCAACCCTAAACAGAATCTCCGCCTCGGTGGTGACGAACGCGACCGATCACGAAGTCCACTCCCGTAATAGGATATTGCCGGTGACTCGAGTTTACTAAAAAGTTCCTCAACGTATTGGAATTTACGTGTAGACCTTAGCTTGAGATGCACGCCGTAGAAGACGGGATCACGACGGATTTAATCTCTACCGTCCGTAGTGGAGCGGCCCGAGAGCGTTGGCGTCGGAAGCGTGGATGATGACTTGCTGTTGACGATATAAGCGACTATAAAATTAATCTACCCGTTTGTCTGTCACCCGTCTCGTCTGCCTTGTGTCCGTGGGAGGGGCAGGCCCACGAATCCCCACTGCTTTGGCCAGTAAGAAGGCGGGTACTCAAGAAAACGGGAGGTCTATGTTTTGAACAAAATAAATGGCAGGAAGTGGATATAAGTCCAATTATCGGGCCACAGGAACTGTGGGCCCAAGTTTGGGTTCTCTTGGACCATGACACATTGAGGTGACGACGTGGACCAATTAATTAATAAAAGAATGACCCGAGAGATACCTCATCTAATGCATTTTTAATGGAATAATTGAGCTGAAATGAGCCAATTCTAAGGAATTTTACTCATTAAATATTTAGCCAATTACAAATTTGAACTATTTGATAAGATGTTTAGGTCAAACTATTTCTGACATTTTTCAACATGGCCCACCAACCACTTGATGGAAACACAAAACAAAAGAATGTGGTTCTCCTTACTCCACGCCATGTGATTCAAGGATAGCTCTAATCTTAATTATTTTCCATTTTGGATGTTGAGGGAGTGTTGAGGGAACATATATATATATATATATATATATATATATATATATATAT